TCCCTCTCTCTCTCTCTCTCTCTCTCTCTCTCTCCTTCTCTCTCTCTCTCTCTCTCTGTCTGTAGTTTTGGGGAAGGTCCGTAGCGCGGTGGGCTGCGCTCAGCTCCTCATGTCCCAGAAGTTCCAGCAGTTCAGAGGCCTGTGTGAACAAAACCTGGTAGGTCAATCACAGCAGTTCAAGCACGAATGACAGAAGAAAGATGGCACAAATCCAGCAGTGTTGTTTTTTTTTACTTGGTGAAACCTAACAGGGTTTCTGCAGGTCTTAAAACGCCTTATTTTGCCCTTCCACAAATTAAGGCCTTAAAAGTTCTTAAATCGGAGCAGAAAGTCTTCAATTCAAATCACTGTATTAAATGTTGCACATGAATATCTTTTATCAGTATTTTTGTTATGTTTTCCAGTACAAATATCTAAACGCCTTAAATCAAGCATTTACTTGAGAAACTGATGAGAACAGATATCTGTCCATGGGGTATTAAAACTGTTTTCCGTTTGAATTAAGTTGATTTAAGTCTATTGGCAGATATTTGACCTTTTAATCCTAAATTCACTTCATTTTGATACATTTCTCAGAAAACAAGACTTCATATTTTGTAATTTACCTCCATAAAACTGGCAGAATCCCTGATTCAGTGTCTTACCAGAATGATTTATTTTCAGTGTTTCATTTACTGAGACAGAAGTATACAGCATACCGAGCAGAATAAATGGGTGTATATTATTCATAAAACTACTCTTATCTTCAATTCAGTGCAACAATTTATGCAAGAATGATTTTATGCAAAATATACACAAATTCAGGGATAGTTCATCCAAAAAGGAAAATGCTGTCATGAATTTTGAGCATAAAAGAAGATATTTTGAAGAATGTTGGAAACCAAACTGGTAGCCTCTGACGTCTATAGTATGGGATAAAAAATACACTTGACGTCAATGGCTACCATCAGCTTTTTGGTTACCAACATTCTTCAAAATATCTTTAGTAGGTCTGTATTTTGGTCGGTTTTTGTTATAGCATGTATTCTGACTAAAGTTCAGCATTAGTGATCAAATCGGCTAAAATGGCAAGAGCAGCACATTTACGAGCTACAGAGATGTGTCGCCCTCTTGTGCACAGCTGATGAAATGCTTATACAATACTTATTTTTCTGTCTGTTCAGAATGTGAACGCAAACCCGAGAGCCACGGCTCAAGATCTGGCCGGGTTTTGGGATCTTCTTCAGCTCTCAATAGAAGACATCAGCCTCAAGTTTGACGAGCTTTATCATCTCAAATCAAACGACTGGAAGCTGGAAGGAGACTCGCCGGAGAAGCAGGTACAAACACAGCTAATGAAACATCAGCAGGGATAGAAATAATTGCCATTGATGCCATGCGGATGTTAAATTGTCATTTGCAAATGTAGATATTCACATTCAGAACAGTGTTATTTTAGTATTATTTACACTTGTAAATAATTATAGTAATTATGTACACTTTTATGGTATTTGTTACTATTTGGAAAAATAAATTTTTCTAGTCATTTTTATGTGCTTTTGTCATTTTTATTCATTTAATTTATATGTATGTCTATTTGGCTTTATTTACACTATTAGTCAGAAGTTGGGAATAAGATGTTTTTATGTTTTTGATTGAATGTTTTTGTCTCTTCTGCTCACCAAAGCTGCATTTATTTGACTAAAAATACAGTAAAAACAGTAATATTGTGAAATATTATTACAATTTAAAAGAACAGTTTTCTCTTGTAATATATGTCAAAATGTAATTTATTTCTGTGATCAAAACTGTATTTTCAGCATCATTACTCCAGTCTTCAGGGTCACATGATCATCTGAAATCATAACAATATGCTCAGTTACCTAAAATTATTGTGAATTGTTTCAGTGAACAATAACAACGCTGACTCCAAAACATAAATGCATTAAGGGCTGCACAATTAATCAAATTTCTAATCGTGAATACAGTTACGGATGCCACAATTACATATTCAAAATCATTCAAAAGCAATTAAAGAAAAAAAAAAGAATAATAATACTTACATTGTGTGTGTGTGTGTGTGTGTGTGTGTTATTTTAAGGGTTTTGAAATCATAATAATATGCTCAGTTACCTAAAATTATTGTGAATAGTTTCAATGAACAATAACAACGCTGACTCCAAAACATAAATGCATTAAGGGCTGCACAATTAATCAAATTTCTAATCGTGAATACAGTTACGGATGCCACAATTACATATTCAAAATCATTCAAAATCGCAATTAAAGAAAAAAAAAAAAGAATAATAATACTTACATTGTGTGTGTGTGTGTGTGTGTGTGTGTTATTTTAAGGGTTTTTCCCATTGTTTTAATTTTAGTTTTAGGGATAACATTATAATACCATGCATATTTTAACTTTTTTTTTTAACTTTTTTTTTTTAAGAAACAGAACCAGTGGATAGTTGACATTTGAGGCTTAATACTATAGAAAAGCAATGCACGTTTTTTAGGAAGAGTGTTTTCACCTTGTTTATTTTCATATAAAAATATGGCATGCAGTTGCTTCAAGCAATGGTATAAAGCTACTCAAAACTTACATTTGTGATAATCGTAATTAATAATCGCAGTTACAATTTCAAGGGAATAATCGACAGTTCTAGTTTTGTCATAATGGTGCAGCCCTAATTAAGAGTCTGTTTCTTATGGTTTGTGATCTTTCCAGCCGCGTGACGTTCAGGAGAACCAGAAACAGGCTCCTCCGGTGCCCAAGAAGCCTGGGAAGAGTAAACCCGGCCTGGGCCGAGAGAAGAGCAACGACGCGGTGGACAAACAGAGACAGGAGGCTCGCAAGCGGCTCATGGCGGCCAAGAGAGCTCAGTCGGTCAAACAGAACTCAGCCACGGAGAGCGCTGACAGCATCGAGATCTACGTGCCCGAGGCGCAGACGCGGCTCTGAGGAGACGCACACCAAACACGCTCAAGGGCTCCGGCGTCACACACACACAATACGAAAAGCTGCTTTTGTCTTTTGACGCCGATGTTTAATAAACGCAGGTGACGGAAACGACGCGGTGCGAACAAAACTCTTTTTTTGGGACTGCCAAGGAAAACCTCACAACGAATCTTAATAGTTGCAATTAATAATATCTAGTGCTGTCAAACGATTAATGGCATCCAAAATAAAAGTTTTTGTTTACATAATACATGTATGTGTGCTGTGTATATTTATTATGTATGTGGGTCAAAGACGTGAAGATGTCCGCATCAAAATAAATTTACAAAAGGGATTTTATGTGCATAGAAAGCACATTAAATGCAAGTAAAGTGTCTACTTTTAAGGTTTCAAATAGGTTTTTGGAGAATAAAATTTTCAAATTTGGTTGAAATAATGTTACATCGTCATTCAGTGTAACACTTATAGTTCTGTAAAAATTCAAACAACATGTTTATTCTGACCTGTACATATTAAAATATATAAAATAATAAGGGAGCATATTACATTTTATTGTGTTTTATAAGAGTAAACATTCTTCCTGACAAAAGGGCAAAACCTAGGATAGTGGCAAATTTTACTAATTAGTATTTGGGGTGAAAGTAATTAGTTTTTTAATATGTCATAAAATAATTTTTGTTGTAAATATGCCTGATGAGATTGTTACACTGAATTACATTTTAGTGGGTGTCTTCTGTAAATCAGGCGAAAATGTATGATATTTATTTTTTGTAAGAGTAAACATTCTTCCTGACAAATGGGCAAAACCTAGGATAGTGGCAAATTTTACTAATTAGTATTTGGGGTGAAAGTAATTAGTTTTTTAATATGTCATAAAATAATTTTTGTTGTAAATATGCCTGATGAGATTGTTACACTGAATTACATTTTAGTGGGTGTCTTCTGTAAATCAGGCGAAAATGTATGATATTTATTTTTTGCTCCGAAAAACTAAAAAAATTGCAATTAAATTAAACTTAAAATTTTTGTGGGAAAAACAACAACAATTTAAAGCAGTATTAAACTTATTGTTTTTATGCTTAAACTCTATTTCGTCTTTGACCCATATATAAATACTCACACGTGCATGTATATATTTCAGAAAAATAGGTTATGTTTATATATTTAATATATTTATAATTATATGTATATAAATATAGACATGTAAATATTTTTTAAATATATATACTGTATGTGTGTGCATTTATATATACATAAATATACACAGAACATACACACATACTATGCAAACAAAAACTTTTATTTTGGATGCGATTAATCGTTTGACAGCACTAATAATATTATTATTGATATGATAATTAAGATCGAACTGCTATTGATAATGATTATTGTCCTAAATTCTATCAGATTGTTTGAAATGTTCTAATATTTTGGATAAGAACTCCTGTAACCCGTCTGTCGCCCACCGCTCGCGTCTTTCCCCGCTGAAATTCACGTCTTCCTGTTACACGCTTCGCTTTCTGTTCTTCTTCCTCTCTTCTTTCAGCCGGTGATGCTCCTCGTCTCTTATTTAGAGAAAACTCTTTTTTTCTCCAGCCTGCTGCTGGTTGATAAACAGATGTCGTGTGTTTCAGGTGGCGCTCTTCCATTTCCTGTCGAATTTGTTTTGATGTTTACAAATCATGCATTGTGGGATATCTAACGAAAGCTGTCGTACCTCAGCCGCTTCTCCGTCTCAGGTCCTGGAGTCTCACGGTTGTCGATGTGCTTCAACAGGTTTTCAATCCCAGTATTCCTTGTTTTTTTTTAAGAAAAACAACCTAACCTGATATTTTATTGAATGAAGTGCCTGTGGATCATTATTGTGGGTAATGCTATGACCCCGTGAGATTATAATATCACGATTTAATCAGCGCTCCCTAAAACACGTAGTGTAGATGCTTTGTGGGCAGTTTGATAAAACTTAAGTAATGAGCTAAATATGATTTTATCATTCAGTTTCTCTTTCAAACTGCACTTGGCGCTCCTCATCATTGCTCCCATTTTTCTCCTGTTAGTTTAAATATAGTATAAAATATGCCAGATTTGAGTAGATGAAACAGACTTTTCTGTAACTGTTGATCAGGGATGTTGTAAACTCTTGGGAAAGTGTTTACTGGGAATTTTCAATAATACAGTCGATATGAGAATTACAAATGATGTCCTGACTAAAATGTGACTCGATTTGGACATTTTGACTTTTTTTTTTATCAAAGAAGGTGATTAGATACAAGTATTTGATAAAGCTGCAAGTTAAGAAATCTTACCTACATATTCTAATCTTAATGCAGTTTTATTAATTTCGTCCTTTGTATACTTCTGATTTGTCCAATATAAACGTACTCCGTTTCGTAACTCTTTCCGTGCACTACCATTAACAAGTTTGGGGTTGGTTTTAGGTTTTTGAAAGAAGTCTCTTCTGCTCACCGAGGCTGCATTTATTTGATCAAAAATACAGTAAAAACGGTAATATTGTGAAATATTATTACAATTTAAAATTGCTGTTTTCTATATGAATATCTGTTAAAGGAACACGCCACTATTTTTGAAAATAGGCTAATTTTCAAACTCCCCTAGAGTTAAACAGCTGAGTTTTACCGTTTTCCAATCCATTCAGCCGATCTCCGGGTCTGGCGGTAGCACTTTTAGCTGTAGCTTAGCATAGATCATTGAATCTGATTAGACCGTTAGCATCTCGCTCAAAAATGACCAAAGAGTTTCGATATTTTTCCTATTTAAAACTTGACACTTCTGTAGTTACATCGTGTACTAAGACCGACGGAAAATGAAAAGTTGTGATTTTCTAGGCCGATGTGGCTAGGAACTATACTCTCATTCCGGCGTAATAATCCGCCAGACCCAGAGATCGGCTGAATGGATTCGAAAAATGGTAAAACTCAACTGTTTAACTCTAGGGGAGTTGGAAAATTAGCCTATTTTCAAACATAGTGGCGTGTTCCTTTAAAATGTAATTTATTCCTGTGAGCAAAGCTGTATTTTCAGCATCATTGCTCCAGTCTTCAGTGTCACATGATCTTCAGAAATCAGTATAATATGCTGATTATTATCAATGTTGAAAACAGACCAATATTTTTGTGGAGACTGGGATGCATTTTATTTTTCAGGATTCTTTGATAAACAGAAAGTTCAAAAGAACAGCATTTATTTGAAATAGAAATCTTTTGTAACATTATAAATGTCTTTACTATCACTTTTGATCAATTCAGTGCATCCTTACTGAATAAAAGTTGTAATTTCTTAAAAAAAAAAAAAATCGTACAGACCCCAAACTTTTTGACGTTATACATAATTTTTCATCACATACATTGTCATGAACTCATGAACTATTGCAGCTCTGCATTCAGTGACAAATGTCCCCCAGATCAGCCCAAACTGCGGCTCCACTAACAGCTCAGTGATGGGCTGCGTCGTTGCCGGTGTGAATTGCCTCTTTCTCCCAGACGTTCGCTCCATTTGGTGTCGGTTGAGTCGTTGACGCCTGCTGAATGTCTGACTGTCCTCTCATATTCAGCCCTGCAAACGGCTGACAGCCACAGATAAACCCAGAATAATGGATCAGGCTCGTACAGGAGTATTTGAATACTCATATCCTGTGTTTAGTAAACTCGAGGCTCATATTTCATGTGGGAAACCTGGTTTAATAATGTTTTACCAGCCTTTTGTACTATTTTCCCAATGAAATCTGCATAGACAAGCACAAAAACTCTGCCATGTTGTATAAATAGAATTTAAATAATAGTAACTCCTATTCTATATTTTTATGGTGTTTATGCATCATGAGTTATTTCATACTTTATTTAAAAAATAATTAAATTTATTTAAATGCATTAAAAATGCATTGTAGTAATTTTGTGTGTGTGTGTGTGTGGGGGGGGGGGTTGTATACAATCTGCAATAGAGTAATGAATAAATATGAAAAGAAAGGGATTATACACAAAAACTTAAACAAAAGTAAACATCTAGATGCATTATGGATCTAAAAACTGAAAAACATACCGAAACTGATAAATAATGTTAAAATTAGCATTTTCCATTAAATAAAAATGAATACAAATCTTAATGTGGGTACCTTTTTCATCTTATTTTATTTTCAGTTGTTCAGCAAATGCCTAACATTTGAGTTTTGCATCTTCACGCGGTGATCAGAAGTTACTGTCAGCATTATCTGCATCTACACAACAGTTATTCTGTTCAGGGATTCAGTAAGCAGATGCTTTATGGTTGTAGTTATGACATACTGAAGCGTCTCAGATGAAATCAGACGCTCCTGCAGCACGAATGTCTTAAGCACTGAGAAGTGCAGACAAATCAACCGACACCAATGTTTGCAAAAATACGCGTTTGTCTTTGACTATTCACTCTATAGATACCATGTCACGATCATTTATTTGTCTGGACTTCTATGAAGACATTATTGTATCAGTTGGATGTCTTTAAATTGTCCACCTGGCGACGAGTTTTTCACTGTCCAGTGCTTCAGTGTTGTGAAACTGGTTTTCACATCATTCATTTCCCGATCATGTGTTCACATGTGATCTCCATCATGTTTGTGGGCTTCCCTGAGGACGACGGCACAAACACACACAGAGAGCGTGTGCTTCAGAAGCCGTGTTTATCTCCTCGGCACACCAGATGCGTTTCGGAGAAACTCTTGTTTGCAACAGAGGGAGGTGTGTTCTGCACCTCTCTGTTCATGCTGCTTGGATACTAGATAAACTCTTTTATACACCTGTTAAGTGACTGAGCCGTAACACAACAGCGATCGAACCCTCTCTGATCTCCACATCAACCTGACGGGACGCGCTCTCTTTCTTCAGCTGTGTTTTACTAGTTTTTGGGGGTCGTCAAACAATAAATCATCTAAATGCAAGAGTTTGTAGCAACAAGAATTAAGATTATTATTATAATAAAGATTGATAACCAATATTTTACGAAACAAGCACATATTTTACTGACTAGGATTTGTTCAATATGTCTAATGCTATATGAAGTTTAGGCTGTGTATGTCAGGGTCTTTTGTTTAGTAAGAAATACAGTAAATCTGAGTAAAGGTCAAACGTGTTTGTGACTCTTTATTCTTTCTCAGCACCCTATACATACATACATATAAAATAAAGGAAATTAAATATAAAATATATGTATTTCCTCATTAAAAATGTAAACAAAAAAAAATGTATAATGTGGTCTTGGTCTTTTGAAACCCATTTTCTCCATCCAGGTCAGAATGTGACACACTCGGTGGTCAGGAAGCTGTAGCTGCAGAAGTGAAATATGAGCAGTTCTTTTCAGCGTTTAGAGGAGTTGTTGTTCTCGGTGACTGTGAACTGCGCATTCCTGCATATGAAAGAGTGAGATTTGCCACAGGCATTAAGAAAATACATTACAAATCTGATCTGTATGCAAACTAACACTGAACCATTTCCTACAAAAACTGCGTTTATGAAAATACCTTTTTCTTCCAGCAGGCGTTAATGTTCAGGCCGGGTTGGAAAAGCTACACTTTGTAATTTTGAGAAACATTTTGTTGTTCAGAAACATAATGTTGCATATCCTGTCATGGTCCATAAGCCATGAATACATTTGAACTTTGAGACTTTTAGGTTTAACAGGTTTGAGATACACAGGTTCAGACTCACACGAACACTCACACAAACATTCATCTATATGAGCATTTTCCCTGACCAGCCCATATTTGTATTCTAAGCAGGGAACACAGATTTTTATATTGGACAGAAAGATTATTATTAATATGAATACAAGTATTATAACAAAATGAAAAAATGCTATTGCAATTAAATATGGGAGGTAGAATAAGAAAAATAGAAAGAAATATTCATAGTCAAAATTATAAAATAAATTATCTCTTTTTATTTAAACTAATTACATAAAAGGTAAATTTTTTAAATAATTGTAAATTACATTATAGATTTATTTAGATTTGGTACTGATATTTTATCGGCAGTTATATAGCTGAAAACTTTTGAAGTTTTTATTAAATCAAAAAATATATTTTATAGGCTATTTAAAATATTTTTAATGAAAAATGTATTTTATTTATATTATGAAAATATGTGTTATTAATTATAAAAAAGACAATAAAATGCATGCACAAATGAAAAGTTAAAATGGATATAAATAAATATGCGCACATATCAAGTGCCTAATGCAGATATCGCAGTATGTAAGAAAATAAAGCAATGCAAAATAGGATTTACAAACAAACTCAATATATACAATTTATTTGTTAGAAGAGCACGTGTACAACTGTAGCACAGTTTCACATAAGATATAAAGGGGTAGATCAAAATAAATAAATAGAATGTTTAAATGCGATTAGAATTTAAAAACATCACTCTAGTTCCATTCAAAATTAGATAACTTATTTAAAAGCCTGGAAGATTCCAAAAATGAAGATCTGGACTGCAGATTTAAAATGCAGCTGATGAAATGAACTCTCTCACAAGTGTTTGGATTGTGAGTTTTGAATGAAAGAGTGATGACACACAGATGTGGGGCCCTTATTGGCCCCTGGAGCGTGGAGGAGGGATCTAGAGCCTGTCATTGAGGGAGGACGGAGGGAGAAAGAGAAAGAGAGAGTTTGCTGGAGAGGTAAACGGCTGTTTGTCAACACGAGCGTTTCCCTCATGACACACTAATGAGCAGATTCACTGATTACTGGAGCTTCTCGTCTGGTCTGATCTGACTCGTGTGTGTGTGTGTGAGAGAGAGAGAGAGGAACACACTCTCCGCTTGACGAGGACCCGCGTTTCCACACCAGCAACTTCCAGCATTCTGTGCATTTTTGCCAGCATCCAGGATGAAGCCCAACAAAAGAGGTGAGAGTCGTGTGCATGTGCGGGGCGTCGCGCGTCAGATCTGTGTCTCCACACGCTGTCCATCTGCGCGTGGCGTGATTTCCAGACTGAACGCGTGAAACGCAGATGTGCTCCTGGTTCTGGCCTTTCGTGAAGCGGCTGATGCACGCGTTTGCTTTTCACGCGTTCGAATCTTTGCAGCTTTATTGACTTCCGCGCGTTTGTTACATTGTATCATTGTGCTCCGATGACGTCAGCGCGCGTTTGTTTGTTGCTTTTCGCGCGTCTGCGCTGCGGCCCCGTTTGTTTATTCGCGTCTGTAAACAGACTTTCGTTTGATCTCTTTTGAAGACCTGTGTAGTGTAAAATGTAAGCGTTTTCAAAAAACGAGAAAGCTGCAGTAAATGACGCTGAAGTGTGACCCGTGTGAAGACGACAGTTACCCTCTCAACCTGTCCACCAGCGGCAGAAGCGGGTCTGCCGCCAAACGCCGCCGCCGTGGAAACCTCCCCAAAGAATCCGTTCAGGTTCTGAGGGACTGGCTGTACGAGCATCGCTTCAACGCTTATCCATCAGAGCAGGAGAAGCTGAGCCTGTCTGGACAGACGCATCTCTCTGTGTCACAGGTGAGGGTAACGGGATCCTTTGACCTAAACTTCTGCATGCAGTTTTCCATGCAATTACAGTAAAACTAAAACTGCTATCATAAACTTAAACTTTAGACCCGGATTTAAAAAAAATCTCCTTTACTTGCATTTCTGTTTCAAAGCAGTATGATATTTTCCATGCAATTACAATGAAACTGAAGGCAAGTAAAAGAACATTTTAAAATTTAAGTCGAAATAGGATTACATTTATGATTTGCACTTTGAGCTGGAAAACTTCAGTTTCATTGTAATTGCATGGAAAATATCATACTGCTTTGAAACAGAAATGCAAGTAAAGGAGATTTTTTTAAAATCCGGGTCTAAAGTTTAAGTTTAAGCTCTAAAGGCAAAACTGTCATACTTTAATCTTATTTAGACTTAAATTTGAAAATAGTCCTTTACTCGACTCCATGTTGTTTCAAACCTGTATAATACAAACCTGTAGAATAAAACTAAAACTTTGACATTTGAATGCAAAAGTATGATAAGTTTAAACTTTAAAGGGTACATAACACACACCGTTTCTGCCAATCTCATGTTAATCTTGAGTACCTATAGAGTAGTATTACATCCTTCATGTCTCTGAAGAGTCTTTAATTTGATCAGATTTATAAGGAATTCCGCTCTTCACGACGTCATGAAGGGCCATACTCGAAAAAAACTTTCCGAAACTTATTTAAACCTGGAAGGAGTGTATTTGGCACAGAAATACTCTCATACGACCAACTCGTTTTTTGACACTGTGGCCATGTTTAGCATGAGAATCCAACTCTTAACAGTGTAAATAACTCACTATGCATGAAATAGCATTACACCCCCACCCCCCCCGAACTTACATTTGAAAAATGTCCTTTTACTTCATGTTTCAAACCAATATGATATACCCTTGCAATTACAATGAAACTAAAAAGGTTGTACAAATTTAAACTTATTTAGGCTTAAAGTTGAAAACTGTCCTTTACTTGCCTTTGTTTTAAATCAGTGCAATATTGTCCATGCTTAATTTGATCAGATTTATAAGGAATTCCGCTCTTCACGACGTCATGAAGGGCCATACTCGAAAAAAACTTTCCGAAATTTATTTAAACCTGGAAGGAGTGTATTTGGCACAGAAATACTCTCATACGACCAACTCGTTTTTTGACACTGTGGCCATGTTTAGCATGAGAATCCAACTCTTAACAGTGTAAATAACTCACTATGCATGAAATAGCATTACACCCCCACCCCCCCCAACTTAAATGTCCTTTTACTTCATGTTTCAAACCAATATGATATACCCTTGCAATTACAATGAAACTAAAAAAGTTGTACAAATTTAAACTTATTTAGGCTTAAAGTTGAAAACTGTCCTTTACTTGCCTTTGTTTTAAATCAGTGCAATATTGTCCATGCATTTACAATGAAACTGTACTTTTCAAGCACATGCAGCAAAATTATCACATTTTAATCTCATCTAGACTTAAATTTGAAAATTGTCCTTTACTCGCTTTCATGTTTTTCATGTGCTTTTTCTCTCTATTCCTCTGATAATCCTGGAAATATCAGGACATTTCAAATGGAGTTTCCAGCCTTGGAAAAAAATCTGGGGAATTAATAACATTTTAAATGGCCATAGAAAAGAAATTACAATTTCTATAGTATGTTTCTAGTTAGTTACAATGTATTTATTGGCTAAACATGGCAAAATTACCACAAATGTATCATAAATTTAAACTTATTGATACCTACATTTGAAAATGATTCTCTACTTGTCTTCGTTTCAAATCTGTACAATATTTTCCCTGCAAAACAGTGAAACTGAAGCTTTCAAGCACAAAAGAGGGCAAAATTACCATAAAAGTATCATAAATGGAAACTTAGTCTTAAATTTTGGTCTGTTCCTCGCAGCTTTTATATGGTTTCAGAATATAGTACATACGCCTGTTAATTTGGATATGAATGTCTGTTGTCCTTTTTGTGTCTTAAGTGAGCATGTTTTTTCTTTCATGCTTAAGCTACATAGTGGACCAGAGACAAAAGTCTTGTTAATCATCAAGTTCAGTTTAAGAAATGTTCTCTTTCTAGTATTTTCTTTTTTGTGTCTTTGATCCTCTTCTACATTTGGATGTAATCTTCAAAGACTTGGACTTTCCCACACAGTCTGCGCTGTGTTTTGTCCTTGTCCGAGAGCTGCGGTGTTGTCAGAGAGCAGGAATGCAGGCGGCGAGGCCTGTGCTGCATATTTCCTCTGGTCTCCATTAGAGCCAGCTGTCTGTCTGACACAGCGTGCAGTTCACTGCGGCGCCATCAGGGGGCGCCAATTTAGGATTCAAAAAATGCTTTTTTTTTTTCTTTTTGATCCTGTACCAAGATATATTTAAGACCGTATCACCAATACAATACCTCCTTTAAATTGGACTTTTGTTATTTTTGGAGGATAAAATGGGTATAGTAATTGAATGTTAAATTAATGTCTAAATTGCAAGTAAATTGGTAACACTTTATTTTAAGGTACGGTTCCCGCTATTAACAAACCATTAACTATGACTTTTGCCTTGATAAACTTCTAATTTGCTTATTATTAACAGTTAGGAAGGTAGTTGTTAGGTTTAGGTATTGGTAGGGATCATGGAGAACATGTGCTTTATTAGTGCTAATATACAGCCAATATGTTAATAATAGGCATGCTAATAAGCAACTAGTTAATAGTGAGAATTGGTCCCTGTACTAAAGTGTTACCAGTTAATTTTTTAACTGATAAATGACAGGATCAGTCATTTATCAGTTTCTGTAGTTCAACATTTGTATCAAACACTATGAAGGCTATTAGGATATAATAATATTACATTTGGCTTTAGATAGTGCTTTTTCCTCTATGTTCCTCTGATAATCTTGGAAAATCTGGAAATATCAGGAAATTTCAAGTGGGTTTAATTAATAAAATTTTAAATGGCCATAGAAAAGACATTTAAATTTCTATAGTCAGTTTTTAGTTAGTTATAATGTATTTATTGGCTAAAAATGGCAAATGTATCATAAATTTAAACTTGTTACCTAAATTTGAAAATGGTTGTTTACTCGTCTTCGTTTCAGGCCAGTACCTGGACTATGTATTTTTTGGTTAGAAATGACTGATTGTGTGTGAGTGATTCTTATATATATGTATATATATATATATATATATATATATGTGTATATGTTTGTTTGTTTGTTTTATTTATTTATCGTTTTGTTTTATGGTTTTATTTATTTATTCAAGTCAAACTTATTTTTATAGCACTTTTCACAATACACACCGTTTTAAAGCAGATTATACAGAAAATCATGATGTTTATATCTTCATGCCTAATTGTGGATTTTGTCTGATTAGAGCTTCCAATATTATAGTTTACATTTTGTGATACAAGCAATCAAGCGGTTTAGATTCGCTATGTACTATATATCGGGCTACATAAGTATACTGTATGAATTCTGATGAACTTTATATAATGTGATCAGTCCCATGGCGTTTTTAGTTTCTAAAACGAAAGTCTTTCATTTTGTTCGTAGATCTGTAACTGGTTCATAAACGCCCGCCGGAGGCTCCTGCCGGACCTGCTGAGGAAAGACGGCAAAGACCCCACTCAGTTTACAATGTCACGACGCACCAGCAAACCAGACAGATCCGCCTCCCCGGAATGCCCCAACTCTGCGACCCGCCCCTCTGTCATCTGCCCCGCCCCCATATTGGACTTGAGGCTGTTGGGTAACACTGCGACGGCAATTTTGGCTGGAGCCGGTTGCTTGCCGTCGTCAGGAAACCGAGACGGCAGTGTTCAGGCTCTGATGCAGCTGGACACTCGAGGTCTGCTGAGACGGGAAGGCCTAACTGGAGACCAGTACCTGACGACCATACCGTATGCTTCTACCTCTGTCCAAACCCTGGGAGCGGTGAGCCCAAATGGGGTCCTGTTCAACACGCCTCCACCTACCCCACCGGAGCTTTGCCCTCAAGATTTCAGCGATCTGAAGCTTCTGATGGATGCGGCCCTGCAGCGAGCGGCCGAGCAAGAAGTCAGTCAGCAGAAAGAACAAACGATGCAGCAGCAACCAAACGGACCTACAAACGAAAGTTCAAGAGCGCTCATCCAGAACAGCGATTCGGAGACTCCTTCAAGGGACAAATCTGATGCTGCACCGAGCTTGACGGAGAGCTCAGTATTACCCGTATCGGTTCCTATCATGAGCCACTCTTTTTCAGGCCCTCCCGTCGATCTAAGCACGGCTGGTGTCTCCGATGTGAAATCTGGAAGCTTTGCGTGGAGCGTTCGACAAACCGGTCCACCTGCGAATGTGGTATCACACACATGGGTTTCACAGTACACACGTAATACGGTCACGGAAGCGGTTAACTAAAAACTCAAGCAGACAAAGTCACTTTAGACTCCCATTTGTTTGCTTCTTTTTGTTGGAAGACTCTGGAGCAGATGCCTCCCCAAATCGTTGTCACAGATACCGTTTGGATGTTGCTTGGTACCCAGAGAGGCTCTTCACTGAAATTCTCTTCAGGGGATTCCGGAGTGAAGCTTCTCTACACCACAACGTATTTTTAAGACATTTTTAAAAACTTTTTAAACCAAAACCCTTTACCTTTTTTTTTTTTTTTTTTTTTTTAACTTTGTGAAGTTCCG